TTGATTTTGGCTCAGGTCATGATCTCATGGTTCATGGAATTGAGTCCCGCATCAGGCTCTGTGCTGACAATGTGGAGCCTGCTTGGGATTCTCTCTCTCTGCCCCTCTCCTGCTCACTCTCTCTCTCAAAATAAATAAATAAAATTTAAAAAATAAAGATAAATAAAATTACAATATGTAAGCTTACTCCCTATTTCTTGGAAATTGATTACTAGTCCTAAATAGAAACCATTTACCTATAGTAGATTGTTAAAACAAAAACAAATTAATTTCTAGTTGAGGATCTCCAACTAGAAAAGAGGAGAGTTCAACTGGTGTCACAATGAGCAGTTACCCCACAGAGGAAGCTCCATGATCTTAGAACTTTTTCCCCTTGGTCCAAATGGCTTGAAGCAGCAGTCTGGAACAGATTTTCCTTCTTTAGCTATTGTATTAGGGCTCTCAGAAAGGGTGGGAAAAAAACAAGAACCAAAACAGCTGTATCTAAACCAATTACTGATGAGATCCCGGTAACACTGAAAAGAAATGACATGAGTTGGTAAAAGGTATAGTAATCGGCTCTGAATAAAAATGAGCCGGCCTTTAATTGCTTAAGAGTAACTTCTGGGGCAATCCTAAAATACGAACATTTTGGGATAAATTACTCATAAACTAAATTACTATTAAAAATAAAAGTGATCACTTTTTTTTTTTTTATTTTGGGGAGGGGTTAGTTTTCACATTAGTCCTAACAGTTCTTTTAAAAGTAATTTAAACTATATTAATAGGAATTAGTATAGTTTAGCCATATATGGCATAGGCTGGTGCAAGACTCCCTGGGTTAGCCCCTCAGCTCCGTCAATTGCTGGCTATGTCAACAATGGGCAAGTCACAATCTCTCTAAACCTCAGTTTCCCCATCTGTAAAATGGGAATAGTAACAGTATGCCTACCACACCTGGTTACTGTTAGGGTTAAATGAGTAAGTGGAGAACTTGGCACTTGACTGGCACTATATGTATTAGCTACTAAAGCCTGGCACCCATTGTAGATGAGAACATCTATCCCTCAACAAATTTGGCTATTTGTTACATGCCATGAATTACATTAGAGAAACAAACATATGCAAGATAGACATAGATTTTATAAGATGAAGCGAAGTCTGAGCAGAGATCAGAAGGGTGAGTATAGTAATTTAGCCAGGCAAAGTATGGACAGACTGCTCCAGGCATAGGGAACCATACATAAGTAGGACGGTCTAAACTTGAGAGAAAACATTCAATGGAAAACTGTCATAGTGAGGGAGGGGGACAGCTATGGAATGAAGACAGTGGTTCCAACTCCTTGCACATAATACAAAACAGAACTTCACTTTAATGGTAAAATTTGCTCATTCACGACCAGGAGTATTCCTAAATACCAGTGGATGAAGTCACAATATAAACGTATCTTACCAGTATTTTCTTAAAAAGAAAATCTAGCTATATATTTTTTGCCTATTGTATAAATAGACCTTTCCAGAACAGACCTTCAACCCATTAAAGTTCCACATCTGTTGTTAATATTTTCACACTGATTCAGTGAAGTTAGTAGGATTTTCAAAGTTGAATGGTGATGAATTAAATAGCAATGTAAGGGATCAGGGATTTGAGAAAATAAAACATTTGTCAAAAATTTTTGCCAATATTGATATGTGATCTTTTAAAATATGCACTAAAATTCAAGCAGTATAACTATATTTACCAGAAAGAAAGGAAGAAAGAATAAAATTTGTGTGCCAAATTGTATCACCTTAGTATAGCCACTTTGCTTCTATAGTCTCCTTTATGTTTATTTTTACACTAAAGATTATTTCCTCTCCAAATTACTCATTTAAATGAAATATATTTTTTATATTTAGCTCTAAGGAGGTTAGTTTAGGACAGTGTGCATATGTATATATGACAACAATTACTTCTAGGACCCATGTGAACTCTGAAATACACACAAAGTACAGCTGTCACTCTATTACCCTCCTTTTTTTGGACCCTTCTCCAATCAAACACTTCCTCACTCTTCCACCATTAGTAACACTAATGCCAAGTTATCCCCACAACACCCAAAGCCCTCTAATCCTACTAGATCTTAGGAAGATTTTGAATTAGACTTGATTCAAATGTCAATCTGAATGCTTAAAAACAGTATGGCCTAGATTTCATTTTTTAAACCCTTTCAGTGCCAGTGTTCTTATTTGTAAAATGGAACACAAGCTATAAACAAGGGAGGGAGCACCGCACAGCATTTAATTACACAGGCTCTTGGAGGAAGCCTGTATGAGTACAAATTCTAGTTCCACCATTTTATAGCTAAAACACATTGAGCCAGATATGTTCCATCTCTGTACCTCGGTTTCTTCATTTGCCTCAGAGAGAAGGTAACAGTGAAAGGTGGAGAATTATTATGAAGACTGAGATAATATACATAAGGCATCTGGAAGAATGTCTGGTTCATGGAATACTCAATATATGATGGGTATTATTACTTCGTATATCTATTTTATACCTTTATAACATAATTGTGTCAGGAGTCCCCAAGACCACCCTCACATTTGATCATTTGTTGGAAGGACTTAGAACTCAGAAAAGCTATTGTACTCATGGTTACAGTTTATTACAGTGAAAGGACACAGATTAAAATCACCATAGGCTTCTCCCAGAGGAGTTCCATTATGACATATGAAGTATTGCCTACTAGGAAAGCTCTCTCATTCCTTGATGTCAAGAGTTTTTATTGGAAAAAAACATGTATGCCTGGACCTTCCACATGGCCCACCTTAGCTACTCAGCCTCTAGCCTCCTATAGAGGACAAACCAAACAGTATAGCCCAGGGCTTCAGGTGAACAAAAACAGGTACTCACTGCAAATCACATTTCTAGAAAAAACCATCTAGTTTGGTCCAAGGCCCCAAGCAGACAAATATCCCTATGAGACAGGGTATTCCAAGACCTAACGGGTTATCTCCCAGGAACCAGTGTAGGACTGGTTCCAGATTTGAAACACCTCAAGCCTACTGAATTAACCCTTCACTGCATACTAATTTATTAAATGACTACCATGTGCAAGGAACTGTGATAAATACTTAGTATATATTAGCTAGCTTAATAAACACTTTTATGAGAAAGGAATTAATATTTCCATTTACAGATATGGAAACTGAAACTCAGGAAGGTTATATCAGTTCATGGTCATATAACTAGTGTGGAATCCAAACCCAGCTCTCCCAGACTGCAGAGCCTTTGCGACTTACATTAAGGCATAAAATATTTTAAAGTTAAAATTCCATATTGTACAATTTATCACATATATAGGCACACAATAAATATATTTGTCAATCAAATCCAGTTCTTCTACTTGTGATAGTGAAAAACTAAAGAATCATTTTGAATTTGTGGAAGGAACAAACTAAAGCTATGAGCAAATGTATATGTACCATAGACTAGTGTTCCTTTGAAATACTGAAGCTTTAAATGTCCATCAACTGATGAATGGATAAAGAAACTGTGGTTTATATACACAATGGAATACTACTTGGCAATGAGAAAGAATGAAATATGGTCTTTTGTAGCAATGTGCATAGAACTGGAGAGCGTAATACTAAGTGAAATAAGTCATACAGAGAAAGACAGATACCATATGTTTTCACTTTCATGTGGATCCTGAGAAACTTAACAGAAGACCATGGGGGAGGGGAAGGGGAAAAAAAAAAAAAAAAAGAGAGGGAGAGAGCCAAACCATAAGAGACTCTTAAAAACTAAGAACTGAGTGTCGATGGGGGGTGGGATGGAGGGAGGGCAGGTAATGGGTACTGAGGAGGGCACCTGTTGGGATGAGCACTGGGTGTTGTATGGAAACCAATTTGAGAATAAACTTCATATTAAAAAAAATAAATACTGAGGTTTTAAAGAAAAATTTTTTAATGTTTGTTTATTTTTGAGAGAGAAAGACAGAGCCTGAGCAGGGGAGGGGCAGAGAGAGAGGGAGACACAGAATATGAAGCAGGCTCCAGGCTCTGAGTTCTCAGCATAGGGCCCGATGCAGGGCTCAAACTCACAAACCAGGAGATCAGGACCTGAGCCAAAGTCACACGTTTAACCGACTGAGCCACCCAAGTGCTCCTGAAATACTGAGTTTTTATTAAAAGACTATCTCATCTTAACAAAGTCCAATAAATTCAGCAATAAAGATTTCCTTAGAGTAAAAAGAACAACTTCTTTAAGCTTAAGCATTTTCTTTTTTCCTTACCCTTCGAAACTTTTTAATCTCCACAAACATTTGCTGAAATAGAGAAATGACTTACCCATCTATTAAGAATAACATAATTTTTTGTTGCAGAATTGTATCACCATTTTCCCCAGGGAGGCAACAATGCTTTTTCACTTTAATATGTGTGTGGTTTTTTTCCTCATCTAATCAGCTAATACTTTTCAAAAGATCTTTTTAATGCCTAAATGAAAGGATTCCACATCAAAGACCTGACCTCCCTATTAAAGTATCTAAAGGAAACCCTAGGAATCTAAAATCCATTCAAAGGCAAATCACAGGTAGCTTATTGTACAATGCATTAAGAAAAGAAAAGGAAAATAAGAAGCTTCATAAGAGCTTCACGGAATTTGGTAAAATTATACCACAAAATACAAATTGATCTCAAGTATAAAGAAACAAATTCATAGCCAAAAACGTATTACAAAAGTGCTCTGTAATCAGCCAGGAGGGGAGTCTTTATGAGAAACTTCAGAATTTGTCATATTTTCAATCAAAATTTCTGATTACAGCTTAACATTGGGAAGGCCAAAAAGAGAACAAACCACATATTTTTCAATAGATTTAAAATCTGAAATTTTTAAAGCTAACTTTCAACATGGGGAAAGGTAGGTTTTATTACCAACAGCAATACTGGAATAAAGTAATGAAATGAAAGTAAAAACTGATGAGATGTATAGACACAAATACTTTCTTAAAAAAAAATTAAACATTTTAACATACCATGAATGTGGTTCTGAAGTTATTCAAGTCATTAAAAAAGTCTTCCACAGACACCTTCTTCACATCAATGGCATAGTATCCCATCACACTCTGGTATAACGTTTCCATGTTTTCGTGTAACTTTAAAAGTTTCCCGTATTGTTCTTTTGCACTGATAACAAAGCTGTATCTTAGAGTTAAGGGATTCTGAAATTTACAAAGTAATGTTTTAGGAAAAAAAAAATACCCTGTGAATCCAATGTTTGAATTATTAGTCACTATTACACATCTCCAAAATGCCAAAATTACCTCTAACAGGTCATTGTTCTCAAAACTCAATCTATCCTGTACGACAGTAAAATCTTAACACCAATCTCTAATTAACTCTGGCCAAATTATCAGAAAAGTTAAATATTTATTTTTTTTATATTTCTTTTTGACAATTGAGTCCATGGAAATTATACTTCCAGTGTATGTATGTACGTTATTCACATCATTCAATATGATTTAAATTATAGCTCAGTGTCTGATATTGAGTAATTTCAATGATATTGAAATCAACCACATGGGTGCTGAACACAGCAGTTAAACTGGATGCCCGATGTCAATTTCCAGCTCCCGCACTTGGTGGTTGCCTGTGGGCACATGCCTTAATCTCTCTGGGCTAGGACTTCCTCATCTGTAAAATGGGAATAAGAATATCATCCATTTCACAGGGCTGCTGTGAGGATTAAACACGTTAATAATTCAAAATTCTTAGAAAAATGAATAGCATTTTGTAGTACATGTAAATCCCTTTTATTTTTATTGCATTTTGGGTTACATATGTGGTTCTAAAGTCCATCAAAAAATAAATTAAGAGTTACATTAAAAACTTCAAATATTAGGGGCGCCTGGGTGGCTCGGTCGGTTGAGCGTCCGACTTCGGCTCAGGTCATGATCTCACGGTCCATGGGTTCGAGCCCCGCGTCGGGCTCTGTGTTGACAGCTCAGAGCCTGGAGCCTGTTTCAGATTCTGTGTCTCCCTCTCTCTGTGACCCTCCCCCGTTCATGCTCTGTCTCTCTCTGTCTCAAAAATAAATAAACGTTAAAAAAATAAAAAAAAAAAACTTCAAATATTACAGAACTTCATGTTTTAAATTTTCCTTTGGAAAACTGGGAAGTGATTTATTTTATGCATTGCATCATCTAAAATTATGATCTGGCACATACACATACAGAAATATTCTCTTCTCATTTATGACAACACAGTTCAAAACACTGATTTTCAGAAGACTAACAGTGTGAATGTTGCAGTGGCATTAGAAAACATTTTCTAAACAAACCATAGAATTTCCTTTGTGGTTTGACAAATTGCTAATGCAGTTAGATATACCATACTTCATTCTGAAAAGATGACTCTGTTAGAGCATCATTCATAATCGTCTATGGCTCCTTTAAACTGGGACATTTAAAGAAATGGAATATACAGAATTAAGCTTATCCACGCCATTTTATTGTCTCTGACTAATGCAAAAAAATAAACATGTTAGTATATTTTTAAATTTTTAAATATTTGTTTAGTTATCTGTTTTTGGGGGGAGAGGCAGAGAGAGAGAGAGAAAAAAATCCCAACCAGGCTCTGCACTGTCTGCACAGAGCCTGATGCAGAGCTTGATCCCACAAAGTGTGGGATCATGAGCTGAGCCGAAATCAAGAGTCGGACACTCAACCAACTGAGCCACCCAGGCGCCCCAGTATACATATATTTTTTTAAAGTCAGTAATAAGAGTAACTAGATTCGTGGCAAGAAAACCAAAAAAGGAATTTTTATAACCAAAAAAAAAAAAAAAAAAGATTTTCCACAATTTTGAAAGATAACGGTTCCACTGGTCAGAGTATTCCCCAATGGAAGATAAAATAAGGAAACCGATCTCGGCCTTTCATTTTGAGAAAGGAAGACTGAGAAAGAAAGAGGCAGCATTGCTGTTAGATGGGTGGTGAAATCCAGGGGGGCATGGAAATTTTCTAATAATTAGAGCCCAACCTCCCCAAAAAAAGGCATTCCAGTCCATCACGGCTCACTTGTACCCATGTCTGGGGTCAGTCCACAGATTACTTACTGCCCTTCTATGCTGGTTATTTCTCCCTCTCTGCACCCCCCAGACTATGCCCTGCTTACTTTTATATTTAGCATTTTAGGGGAAAAAAAGAGTATACTAAATATAGGAGTCTGGATTCTAATGGAAGGGTTGATACTTTTTTTAAATAACCTTAAGAAAATCTATAGACCTTTCTGTAGTCCAGTTTATATTCATCTGAGTAGCAAAATGCCTCCTTATATTTCCTAGAATCTGGATCATAATAGCAGCAGTGGCTGATGAATTTATATGTAGTATCATTTTTTAATGCTTGCATAAACAAAAGATTTTCTGTAATTACTCAAATCACAAAATCACAGGAAATTATAATACAGTCACACTTGACAGATTTCCATACACTTTGTCTTATGAAATATCCATATTCATGAAATATTATAAAGCAAATGTATGTAAATTAAAAAATCACGTTTGAAACACATTCAGAAACTAATATTAAATGGACCATATGGTGATTCATTTGTAATGTGAAATAATCAGTCCTTCATTTATATAGTAAGGTCAGAAATCAACATTGGTTTATCTATTCAATCTATAAACTTTCATCTAAAATTATTTATGTCCCAGAGACAGACTATCTCCATATGGATTATTTATACATCCTTAACTCTTGTCTAAAAGAGAAATTGTTTTCTGCCTTTGCTCACCCAAACCTATCATTCAAAGGTTCCTTCAATTATTCCTCTTCCACAAAGCTTTATTTTCTAATCTCTACAGTAAGAAGTTCGTTCCACTGAACACATAGCATTTGCAATCCATTGTACTCAGCTGGAATGGAGGGGAGTTTTCCCTTCTAGACCAATTCCTTGATAGCACTTTGCTCTTGCCACATTTCTAGAGGATGGCCACCTTGGACTGTCAGCCCCTTCTGCGGATGCTGTGTTCCACCTTCTCAGTACTTGTCTGCCACTACATTCGTGTCAATTACTCATCTCCCCCTAGTGAGTCATCAAATTTCCATCAGTAGGAAGGTAACAGCTTTCTCAAAAGTGTGATGAAAGGCACAGAACTTCTATTCAAAAAAGTCCATCTCTATGCATTCACACACATACAATTTGTATGTAATGCTAAGAGTTAACAGAGTCCCTGAAAAGTAGTTTTGCTGGACAACATGTTAAGTAGGCTACTTTAGTGGGCGTTTCTAATTGCATGGTCCTAAAGCTACTCCTTGTCTTTCCCCTCACTGACTGCATAGTAAGGCTTTGTGTTTTAATAAGAGGCACTTCACAAATATGAGTAATTTTATCCTGACACCTGCGAATACTCCCTTTCTCAAGAATCAGTTTGGTAAACAGGTTAAAACAAAGCTGTAAGTATTACCCAGTAACACTTTTTAAGATTTTCAAGTAGTAATCACAAGTTCATGAAACATCAGAAATAATATTAATACTATATTCTTAATAAAAGTACTACAATTCTATGTAAACATAAAAAAGATGTGATGGGAAAGAAAACCAAGAGTCAAAACCATGGAGATGACATGGTCTTGTTCTGACAGCTAGAGAGCTTTATAAGTTAATTTTCTTATCGTTGTTATCTAGAAAACAATTTGCTCCCAAGGGAAATGCAATGGAGCTTTGAATAACTGGAATAACCCACGAGAATGGTAAAATTGCGACTGAACAGAAACAATTTTGGAAATAGTTAAATTAATTCTCACTTTAAAATGGTTGTCTGATAGGATAGAATAAATGATGACATTGATGAGGCACTCTACATCCCTAATGATGGGCTAGTCTCTCATTATGAGATGGTGAAACCACCCAGCACAAATACGTACTACATTTATTCTTACATCCTGCCCTTGTTATTGCTTCCCCCAACAAGGATACCTATTACTTCCATTAACACATCTTACAAGGACCAGCTCCAATCAGTCCTACATAAAAGCCTGATACCTTTTATAGATCTTCTTAAGTACTCGGGATCCAGCCAGGCAGCCAACCAGCTAGTCAGTAAGTATTCCCTAAGCTCCACTGCATTCCACTTTTCTGGGCAAGAGAGGAAACACTGGTTAACGAGGTAGGCAAAATCCCTGCTTTCATGAAACATACATTCGAGAGTGTAGTGACAGAATGAAGAAGTAAATGAATGAGATGTTCAGATAGTGATAAGTATGATCATGAAGATAAAGGTCTGTGATAGTAGACAGGGAAGTCCTGGCTAAGGGGACATCACCTCAGACAGGGAGTCATCACTGTGAAAGGAGCTGTGAGCACCAAGCTGTGCAGCACCCTCTATAAGTGCAATAAGACCTCAGGGAAGGAAAAGATCATCGTCACTTTGGATGAGGACCAGGATATTTTAACCTGAGTTTTACAAGTCCCTTCAGAGCGAGTTAAACGGAAGACAAGGAAGGAAGAAAGAGAGAAGAGAGAGAAGAGTAAGTCAACAGAAAAATCTGCCATGACAAACCACCCAATTACCCAAACTCCCACTCTTGCAAATAGACAGGTGTTACATGAGTTTACATTTCCCAGATCCCGTTCCTCTATTTTACTCTCTAACCACTGTTCAATTAAATAAAAATGTACTGAATTCCTTTACCTAAAAATGCTGTGTCTTATGCAGCATGGAATACAGATAAAAGATCTAAGCCCTTCAAGGAACTTATTAGGACAGTTTCGCCCCTACATAATACTTTCAAAAGCACCTAAAGCATTGATATATACTAGAACAACAAAAAAGAAAGTGTGAAAATTGAGTAGGACTGCAATGAACAAATTTAAAGACTATAATATGGGAAAAGGCAAGGAAACTGCAACATAAGTGGTAAGAATTAAAAAAAAAAATGAATGTCTGGCAAAACGATTTTTTTCTAAGAAACTCAGGAGGTGGGGTAGGAAGAGAAGAAAAGGTAAATAAATCCTTGTGCAGGGAGAACTTCAAGGGCAATGCTCTAGGATCTATTTGTTATTTTCCTTGACATATGAAATATTCCAGAATCTAAAGGTGAAAAGAAATGAACAGGTACTGCATGACACAAATCCTAGCATTTTCCTGATTTTCTCACATATAAGAGCTTAGTAAGTATGTGTACTTCACATGTAATAGTTTGCATATAACAATATTGGTGATCCTGCCTCAAATTCCTGTCACACATTTTTCAAGCAAATATTTACAGTGGAAATGGTTAACTCCAGTTGTATTTCTGACCCAAGTTTAGCAATTATAAAGAAGTATAAATATTACAAAAAGGGCAATGTGATATATATGAAATAACTGTACATGCATTTTAAAGGATATGCTAAATTCATATTTTTATACTCAGTATATGAAAGTAAAGGGAGTGCACTAAAAAAATAAAATTACAATAAACTATAATTGAATGCTAACAGGGAAATTTCACATAACAAAATTATATCATTATAATTTAAAACAATTCAATTAACAGATTATTTAAGCTACTAAATCATGACTGTTTAAATATCTACTTGCATAAATGCATCCCTAACAACTTAGATAATACACATATTCTTTTAGAATTGGTTGGTGAACCCAACAATTTGACATGTTTCAACTAATAAGCACAAAAACTTAAACCATAAACAAAGTTAGAGCGTTAATAGCCCAAACTTTAAATACATTTTTATTCATTGTGCATTTTAGTTTCTGAATCCTTTCATTTTGTAAGATCTGATTAAGAAGCTCACAATTTGCCACTTTAATAAGATCTATATAAATCCATTTAATATTCAAAATGTGACTTGTTGTCAGTCCTAATTAAAGTAAACAAAGCTTTGCAATGAATGAATTTAATTACTTCGAAACTAGTATGTCTAACCAAGATGAAAAGCAAACCAGTGCAATCTAATCTCAGCAAAGAATATTTATGATTATAAGCTTTGTCAATAGCAAAGTGCACCAACTGTTCGTATATCTGACTTCCAAGAGATACATGAATGCTAATCAGTTCATTAGAGACTTCTAGGTTGTGATATTTAGCGACAGGATGTAGTAGCTTTCTTGTCCATGGAGTATAATTGTACTCAGAATGAAAAATTGTTTCCAACAAAGCATCATCCTTCCTGTTTCTGATTTCCTGCTGGTTGCTTTTTATGAGCTGCATACCTTTCCAGAAGCCGACATCATTCAGCTTCTTGTGTCATATGAATACAAGTATGGATAGGTCCTGAGATCGTCTGCTGAGCAGGATTCTACCACCTTCCCTCTAAGCTCAGGAATTTATCTTAGTTTATAGGTTCTAGAAACCGGAGCCTCATAATTAGTATGCTCAAAGTGTATTACCAGAAACTGTATGCAGGCAAACCCTTTGCTAAAATGCGTTCTCTCTATAGGGAACAATAAAAGTACTTCAATTAACAGTGCTTAATGATTAAAATAAACTGTCACATATGAATATTTTAACATGATAAAATGATGGAGGGAAAAAAGGCTAAGAATGATGAAACTAATGTAACTCTGCAATAACAAATTTGTTTTAAAAAGCATACTTTGCCAAAGGAGAAGGTGCTGCAAGAATATTTTTTGATGGGTAAATACAGATTTCACCTTTGGTTTAAAAAAAAAAAAAACAACCCTTCTCAAATGTAGCGATAATGGCACACTGCCTAATAAAAGAAGAAACTGGATGAGTAGGAAAGATATGAAAGGAAACAAACACATTAGCCTGAATTGATTGTTGCTGGAGTGCATTTTTATGATATTTCCCAAAAGAGACAGTGAACAAAGCTAAAATTGAACTAATTCACAATTAAACTGAAAGCATATACAATAAAATCTATGACAAACCAAATAATAATTTTGTGATTTGCTAAATCTCAGGGGAGAAGGCACAGAAAGAGGAAAAGCAGTTATTTTATTTCAACTATCTCAGTTTAAAATATGAGGAGTGTCTATTTATAAGAGCTCATTGGAAGTGGGTTATCCTTTCATATAAAATTCTGAGGTCCATATGGGATTTTAATAATGCATTGTAGTAATACTTTATTATAACACAAAAGATATCAGTCTCTAATCTCATAGAATGGTTTGCAAAGCAACTCAACATTCATTTCAGGAAATTTAAAAAAAAAAGTTTATTACTTCAATTACTCATTAGAGAATAAGCCACAAAGTTAGTGTAACCAAAGATAATCGAATTCAAAAGAAACCTTTAAATTAAGCAGGACACAAGTCTCATTTATGTATATACATAATACACACATACACACGCACATATGTATATGCACATACACTGATACTAATTTGTGTTTGGAGAAGACCTGCATGAGTAGTGATCATGGCAAATTCCATTTTGATTTTGGAACTATGCAGTGTTTCTAAATATCTTTAATATTAAAGTTTCTGGAATGAGATCATTCTTTATACCAACCCTTGAAATTAAGCTGACAAGTCATACCAGTTTATAAAATCTGCATATCCTTCCTGAAACATTTCAAAAGTATCTAAATCACATCCCGATAGTAGATATCAAACTTCCTCAAACTGAGTTTTCATGTCCTTTCAATTTCTCATGAACATCACAAGGAAACAGGGCAAATGGAAGGGAAAAGAGGAGAGAAACTGTCCAAATGGATACAAAGTGAAACAAAAAAAAGAATAGAAAGCAAAGTACATTTCTGTATCATTCATGATAGGCAAACACATTGATAAATTTCCTTGCAAGAAGGCAAAGGCTAAAACTGTTATCTGGCACTGTAGGATAAGCACTGGTTATGCAAATATACCTACATCATTAAATAAATTGTAACTCTAGTTGACTAGTGAGTTATTTAGATATCAGAAGGATATGGACATCTTTGTCAGAAACTTATCATGCAAGTCCTCAGGAGGGGGAAAGGTTTCCAAATCTTTCTCAAGCTGTTGAAGCTGCCTTCCCATCTGCTTCAAATTCTTTTCCAGCGTTTCTACAGAGACTAAAAGAGAGTATATTAAATGACTTGAAAGGACAAAATTATAATATATAAAAGGTAAAACACTCTAGGAACAAAATATTTGTGAAAAACCTTCCGATAATAAAGAAAATTCACTATACTAGAGGTCAACTAAATTTCACTTTTTAAAAAGCTTTTGATATTTAAAGGCAAATATAAAGGAAATTTCATATTTTTTTTAAAAAAGAAGATGGAATTTAGGAAACGCTCACATGAACAAACTACATTTAATAAGTAAGTTTTGTTGAAAATTAGAGCCCTTGACCTCAACAAGCACTACAAAAGAATCCATCTATTCAGAAAAAGAGGCAAAGAAAGACTTTTAAACATAAACCAATTTCAATGCAGTTTTCACATTTTTCAAAATCATGATCTCTTGAGAGGAAACAATCAGTGCATGGAAAAGACAGGGACAAGGATGCTCTATTGCCCAAGCTCATCTACAATAGGAATGAAAAGGTATCAGAAGCTACTTGAGCAACACATGGAACAAATATCACATCTTCTTTATTGGTATCCTGAGCACAGTCTGTGTTTATTATCTAATGACAATCTCTCTTCTTTGACTTAAAGTTGCTCTCACAGTGCACATGAAGGAACTAAGGGTAGATCAGGGACCAAGGCACTATCAAAATGTATTAGTCGCCCAGTACGACGTTTAAGAATCATTACCTGAAATCTTTTTTTTTTTTTTTAAGTTTGTTTATTTTTGAGAGAAAGAGAGACAGAGTACGACCAGGGGAGGGGCAGAGACAGAGGGAGACACAGAATCCGAAGCAGGCTCCAGGCTCTGAGCTGTCAGCACACAGCCTGACGTGGGGCTCAAACTCACGAACTGTGAGATCATGACCTGAGCCAAAGTCAGACCCTTAACTGACTGAGCCACCCAGGCACCCCCAGCATTACCTAAAATCTATGCATAATTTTAGATGACATCAAGGATTAACAATATATAAAGATATAGCGACCCAAACCAAATGTTTGGGTTCAGATGAATTTTGGTTAAAACTTCCTTTTACTTCCCATCAGTGTGAAGTATATGAAATGATGCTTAAAAATACATATAATAATTCTAGGCATACATCCATTTTTAGGCTTCCAATTAATCCTGAGGAATGGATATAAGTCAGGTTTCACCTGTAAGAATGGGCATATCTTTGAAAGTAACCTGGGGGCACCTGGGTGGCGCAGTCGGTTAAGCGTCCGACTTCAGCCAGGTCACGATCTCGCGGTCCGTGAGTTCGAGCCCCGCGTCGGGCTCTGGGCTGATGGCTCGGAGCCTGGAGCCTGTTTCCGATTCTGTGTCTCCCTCTCTCTCTGCCCCTCCCCCGTTCATGCTCTGTCTCTCTCTGTCCCAAAAATAAAAATAAAAAGAAAGTAACCTGAATGCCCAACAAATGCGACTGAGTTAAAAAATATTTATAAATCTCTATATACAAATATACATATAAATAAATATATATGGTTGTAGTCTTAGTTCAATAAAATGGAATGGAAGGGAAGCATGAAAAATCATATTGCTAGTTTTTAAAAAATTTTTTTTAACGTTTTTTATTTATTTTTGGGACAGAGAGAGACAGAGCATGAACGGGGGAGGGGCAGAGAGAGAGGGAGACACAGAATCGGAAACAGGCTCCAGACTCTGAGCCATCAGCCCAGAGCCTGACGCGGGGCTCGAACTCACAGACCGCGAGATCATGACCTGGCTGAAGTTGGACGCTTAACCGACTGCGCTACCCAGGCGCCCCTTTATTGCTAGTTTTTTAAACTAGCTGTATATAAAATAACATTTGTTATTCTATTCATAGCTTTTAATATAATATTCTAATATTCTGTTATATTAATAGCTGTTAATAAAACCTTAACGTATTTTGTTGCAAAATCAATTAGTGGGCTAATTTTCCGATACAATGTTTTCCAGTGAATGAATTCTTCAGAGAGCCACATGTAATGTTTGTGCTCAAAGAGCAACAATATGTTAACCTTTGGCTCCCACTGTAGTGAAGCCATTGTGAAGTTATACTGATGCATATTTTCTCATTAGTTTTTTGCCACTCATGTTTCCCCTCTCTGTCAGTCTTAAATATAAGACAATAACGCACAAGAGTACATAAAATATTTCTGTCATGACAGCACTTAGTGTATTAATTAATTCTTTCTATTTAACTCAAATACCCAAATCTTTGCTGTACACTACTCATGATGGTAACACATGGTTCCTAGGCTATGCTCTTTTAATTTTATGTCTGTTTGTCAATTATTCACAACCAAGACATCTATTTAATTAGGCCTAGGGTGTTTCATTTACTCTTCTCATTTCCAATTTTTTTTTTTTTGCTTCTTTCAAAGTTCTCTATCTGAACTACAAGAAGAGATTCCTTTTGCTTTCCTAGTCTATTTGATCTCTCTTCTAACATTTCATTAGCATTTCCCCTATCACTTCTCAAGAAATCTTACAGGTGGTTCAGTCATTTTTATACATCCTTAAGCTGTGAAACTTCTCATTAAATAAATACAAGTTCAAAAACACATAAAATCATTTTGAGTAAATATGTGCTCAGAACAGTTTATAAACTGTATAATCACTTTGCGCTATAAATCAGATTAAAAAAAAGCATATTAGCAGCATAATATTAGTCCTAGTCCTAATGTGTTAGGACAGTAGCAATGGCTAAAATTTATTAAGTGTCCTGAGGTCCTTTCTGAAGTGTTTTCCATTGATTTTTAAAATCCTCAGAAGATAATCATGAAATAGATATTGTTATTATCCCATTTTACAGATCACATTTTATAGATGACTAAATCAGAGTTGAGGAAAAGTCAAACAATTAAAAGTAGTGAGGTCACAATTTGAACTAAGGCAATTAAATTCTAGACTTGATTTTTAACTGTTTTGCTATACAGAAAATACTTTATTTTTACAACTACTACCTGTCAGTAACTATGTTTAAGTACACAGATGTAGTTTTCACATAATGACTTTCTTATATTCTCGCCTAGTACAATTACATATGGCCAAACCCAGGGGAATAGATGTAAGTATTCTGGGCGGATGGCTGTATGACAGATAGATATGCTACCATATTTTTTATTTTATTTTTTTTTAATTTTTTTTAACGTTTTTATTTATTTTTGAGACAGGGAGAGACAGAGCATGAACAGGGGAGGGTCAGAGAGAGGGAGACACAGAATCCGAAACAGGCTCCAGGCTCTGAGCCATCAGCCCAGAGCCCGACGCGGGGCTCAAACTCACGGACCACGAGATCGTGACCTGAGCCGAAGTCGGCTGCTCAACCAACTGAGCCACCCAGGCGCCCCATGCTACCATATTTTTTAAATGAACATTTAAATTTAATGAGTTAACACACCATTGAACAAAACCACGTACTTAAAATACTATGTTTTACTCCACTAATCCAATTTATTATACATACACATATTTGGGAAATACCTAGAGAAAGGACAAGTAAGTCTAAGCTTCCAATGTAACAAAAAGCACAAGGCAAACATTGGGAGGGGACACAGATTATTTCTTTTTTTTTTTTCCTTGACAACTAATCCATCATTCTGTCAACTCTCAGATTCTGACACCAATTGGGTAATCTTCCACTTCAATTCTGACACTAACTACCTAGAGTTAATGCAGACCCCCACAGGCTTAAGGACTCAGCTCCAGGAGACTGCCCTCATTTCAGAAGACCATCACAAGTCCCAGGGATCACCCATCACCCACGCTTCTGACTAACTAGCTATAGATTCAGGGGTTCCCATGCCCCCCCTCCTGCTTATTTTCCATAATTTGATGTTTTACAGAATTCAAAGTACCAAACCTGCTATTACAGTTTTATTGTAAAGGACGCAATTCAGGAAGAGCCAAAGGGAAGATAAACACAAAGAACGGGGGTGGAGGGTAGTACAGAGTCTGCATGGTTTCTATGGGCAAACCCCAGCACATCAATCTGTTTCCAAAACAGAAGCTTCCCCTCAGCCTCACTGCTTCAGAGTTCTTACTGAAGCTTTGTTACACAGGCATGATTGATCAAATCATTGGCCATCAGTGACTCAAGCCTATCTCTAGTCCCTTTCCCCTCCCTGGAGGTCACAGGGTAGACTGACAATTCTAACCCTGTAATCACAGACTTGTGGCCTCTGGTGACCAGTCCCCCATCCTAAAGCTGTCTAGGGTCCTCCCCCCACATCTACCCGAGTCATCTCATTAGCATACAAAATAGGCTCTTATCACTTAAGAAATTCCAACGATTTCAGGTGCTCTATCCTAGGAATCTGGAAAATGACCAAACACACATTTTTAAATATACCATATGGATATATAGAAGTGCATGTCTGGAGAGAAGGCAGAACTCCAGTACCTGTGAGGAAGTATAAAAAAAAAACAAACAAAAACAAAAACAAAAAAAAGTACATTTTGATTCATGAGCTGTGTTGCTCCCAGCTGTCTAACAGCCTGGGTCACCCTCCGAAAAGCCATCCCAATGAGTGATGAGCACTTCCCAGTGGGAAGAGAAAAAGGCTTAAGAAAGAAGCCTGTGAGCCTTTTCCAACTGTCTGTTAGCCAGCGGGTCAGCAACTATATTCTATCATTGTGATGTGGAATCGTTCCTCACTGGCTCAACTTCCACATCAGTGAAAGGGGAAGAAGCCTATCTTCTATTTTTACCTCATGGGTATTTCATAAAAAATCAAATTGTATAACATACGATGAGGAATTTTTTTAAGAGAGTGCACTGGGCTGTGTTATTCTTAGAACTCAATAAGAAATGAAGAGCTTAAAGGCTAACATTAGTAATACTAGAATCAAAAAGTAAAGATAATCATCACCATCAGCGTCACCATTAGGCCAGAACAGTGTTGTGAAAGTCAGGCTAAAAAGAAAAGTTGCTAATTTCAAGAATACAATATTCAGAGAGTTTGGGCATATTCAAACTTTTAATGCTGATGTCATAAAGAGCAAGTCAGCGGTC